GCTTCTTTCCAGGTTTGAGGAGGCCCTGCAGGAAGCCTGGCAGGTCGATCAGCTGCTTTCAGAGGGCCCTGGTGATGACTGCCTGGAGGAGAAGTTCCCCTTGTTGGGGGTCCCCATCACTGTCAAGGAGGCCTTTTCTCTGCACGGTGGGTTTGTCCTTGTTTCTCGGGCACATACTCCCCAGGGTGCCTGGAGGGAACAAGCATCCTTTTCCCCGGTCCCTTTCCCTGTCCTCACCCCCTTCACTTGGACTCGCGTTTAGCCCCCAAACGCTGTGGGTTCCCTTGCTGGGGACCTGCTTCCTGCAGCCTCCTGCCCTGATGCCTCCCTCCATCTGCTGATCATGGCACCACAGGGATGCCCAACACGTCTGGCTTAGTCAACCGCCGGAACGTGGTCGCCACCTCAGATGCCACGGTGGTGTCGCGGCTGAAGCAGGCTGGTGCCATCCCGCTGGGCGTCACCAACTGCAGCGAGCTGTGCATGTGGTACGAGTCCAGCAACAGGGTCTACGGCCGGACCAACAACCCCTACGACCTGCAACGCATCGCGGGCGGCAGCTCTGGTGAGCCCCAGCACCTCAGTGCGGTCCTTCAGCACGGTAGAATACAGCAGAAGAGCTCGAGTGCTCTGCAAGTTGCTCTGACCTGTTGCTGGGCTCCTGCACAGCTCATGGGCCTCTTTCCTGGGCAGTGCAATGGGCCATTTGGAGGTCCAGCTTCTTTGCACCTCCTGGATGTTACTCCCAGCATCACTTGGGCTCACTCTGCCTTATTCTACATGCAAACAGCAGCGCTGATGCTGCACTCTGGCAGGAAAACCCCTTTGACACATGTTCCCCAGCTGTCCCCCAGACATCGCTAAAGCTGGGGCAGCTCCTGCTCCATCTGTGAACAAAGAGAACATGAGATGCTCCTGCTTTGCTCTGTAAGCCCATGTTTTCTGCTGTGCTTTCTCCCATGCAGGCGGGGAAGGCTGTGTCCTGGCAGCTGCCTGCTCTGTCATAGGCGTGGGCTCTGACGTCGGTGGTAGCATCCGGATGCCTGCCTTCTTCAATGGAGTCTTCGGCCACAAGCCCACAACAGGTAGAGCGGGCACAGGGATGTCCTCTGCTCTCCTCCCCAGCAGAAATGCCAGGAGGCAGAATGCAGGGTGTGGAAGAACCTGTTCAGGACACTCCTGTGCTTGTCATGGTGGGGTTGCTGTCAGGAACAGGCAGGGATTGCTGTTGGGAACAGGCAGCTTCTTGCACGGGGCAGCCTGGCTTGGGCAGTGGGAAGCTGTCTGGTGGCAGGATGCCAGGCACATGGGATGCAATACAACTTCTGGTATTGCATCCTCAGCGTGGGATGTTTTCCCAAGGCCAGGATCTGCTGCTGGGGTGTCCTGCTGGGTGCTTTTCCACCTTCCCTTGCCCCGTGTTCCTCACTAGCAGCTTCACAGCGTGTCTCTCCTTGCTACAGGGGTGGTGCCCAACGACGGCCAGTTCCCCAACGCTCAGGGAGTTCGAACCAGCTTCCTGTGCACGGGGCCCATGTGCCGCTATGCGGAGGACCTGGAGCTCATGCTGAGGGTCATGGCCGGCCCTGGCGTCTACAAGTAAGTTGCTCCTTATACTTCAAGCTGCTCAGTTGGTCTCAGCTGCATTCTGGCCAGCACAGTGGATCAGTGCAGGGGTAAGGACAGGTCTGCGCCACCCAGGTTGCTTGGTGGTGGTTTCCTTCTGTCCCTCCTGGCTCCAGCAGGACCCGGGGCTGCCCTTCCCATGCTCTGGGATAGGCAGCTCTGGCCAGTGGGTCCTCCTCAGAAGAAGATCTTGCCTGTGAGCTGCTCCGGCCAGCACTGCCCAGCACGGCCCTTCCCTCCTGGGGTTGGCCTTTCCTTGGGGTCTTATGTGTGCTTTTCCTGTTGCTGAATGATGCATCCCACATGATGGCCCCATTCTCCTCGTAGGTCCATGCAGCCAAGTAGCTGTTCATGTGCATGCACCAGGAAGGAGCAGAGCGGAGATGGGGCAGAGCAGGCAGGTCCTGCTTCTTGCTGCAGCCTGCACAGGGCTGCTTTCTCTGCCACCACTTTTGTTTCTCATAGCCCTTGTGGTGCAGTCCCAGCCTCAGCCGTGGCCAGGGTCTGTAATTCCAAGGTGCATCCTCGGAGAGGAGGATTCTCTGAACAGCAGCAAATACACAGGACTAGCTGGGGCTGACAGGGCAGCGAGCAGTGGGTGAGCTGTGCCTGTGTGACACGCAACAGGTGCCTGGGTACCTTCAGGGACTCTCCTTCCCACCCCGATGGGTAGAGCCAGGTGTCCTGAGGACAGATCAGGTGTCCCAAGGACACGTTAACCACCACGTAAGCAGCCCTGGCAGGCGGGAGGGAACCAGGGCCACGTTTGTGAGCAAAGCACCGTTCTCTTCCAAGGCTGAGGCTGAATGAAAAGGTGTTGCTGGAGAAGATAAGGTTCCTCTGCATGGACCATGATGGCGGGTCCGTTTTTGTGTCGCCTGTGGACAAGGAGATCTTGCAGGCCCAAAAGAAGGTAGGAGGGAATGGAGGCTGGCTGTTGCTGGGGCACGTCGCCTGGGGAAGGGATGCCTGTGCTTCCGTGGCTTTCCCAGGGCTGCCGTTTGGCATTTAGTCATGCAAATGAAGTCTTCTTTTTTTCCAATGAAGTCTTGGGTGCTGCTTCTGCTGGAGCATCACTGAGGGTGGCAGGGAGGGTGCCTGGGGGGCACCGACATTGTTACCAGACAGAGCAGGTCCTGCTTCTCAGGGCAGAGGGATCGGGCAGGAGGTGCGGGATCCCCTGGTTGGCAACAGGGAGAGGCTGCCCCTGGGCTCCCTGCTGTCCCTGCTTCGCACACACCAACTGCAGAACATCACATCCTTACAGGAACAAACCCTTCCTCCTCTCCCTGTAGGTGGTGGAGCACCTCGAGAGTGAGCTGGGGGTTCAGGTCCAGCATGTGGCCATCCATAAGATGAAGTATTCTTTCCAGATCTGGTCAGCCATGATGTCGTCCAAGGACAGCGACGGGCAGGTGTGTCAGAGGCACAGTTCGGTGGCAGCAGGGAAGAGCTGGCTGGTTGGGACCGGCTGTAGAGGGCTTGAGGCTTCCCAGCCCGGGCACTCTCTCTGCTCTGTTTGTCCCTCCATCCTCCTTCCATCTCCTTCTGAAGCCGCACAGCCCCTTCCCCTTTGCTTTCCCATGAGATGACATTGTGGCTCCCCGCAGAGGAACAGCGTTGCTTAGGGAGCTAGAGGCCATTGGGCACGTTGACCTTTTCCACGCAAGGTGCTGTCCCCGAGCAGGGACCATCCTGACTCTTGCCTCCATGCTGTGTCTCCTGATGTTTCCACTGGGGTTAATGCCCGTGAGGAGGCCAGGACCAAGGCAGTGGATAAGCAGCTTTGTAGCAGCAGGCCTGGGGGTGAATTGCAGCCGCTGCCCCGTGCTCTGTGCACACATGGAAGGGTTTTGTAGCATAAACTCCCAGGAGTGTTGTACCTCATTTGTTCCTGCCATGCAGGCAGAGATGAAGTGTCAGCTGAGCCCACCTTGGTGAGGAGGGTGCTCCTGGCCCCCTCTCTGCCTCCTCTTTTCTGGTCCCACAGCCATGTATAACAGCAGTGAATGCCTCCAGGAGACATGGTTATCTGGAGCATCATCCCTTGCATCATGGCAGTGAAGGGGCACTGAAAGGGGCTGCTTTGGGGGCTCTCCCTCCACGGAGTGAGGTCCCATTTCTTCTGTCTCTGGTGTGGAGAGATGCTCCTGCTGCTGCTGCTCTGTACTACTGCTGGAGCTGCGTAATGCTCCCAACGGGCAGCTCCTGTGTGCAAATGGGAGCAGCTTACATCAGGATAACGGGACGGGAGGTTTTGCCATCTCCTGTCAGCCTGTTCCTGCCACGGCGCGCTGCCTGGGCTGCTCATGGTGGGGTGCTGTGTTGTGTTGTGTTGTGTTGTGTTGTGTTGTGTTGTGTTGTGTTGTCTTGCAGGAGGCGCAGCTCTTCACGGACCTGCTGGGGGACCATGGGAAGCCAGTCTGGCCACTGTGGGAGCTGGTGAAGTGGCTCATAGGGATGTCTTCCCACACTCTGCCAGCTATCGGTGAGGAGCCCTTGGGAGGCTGGGGACAGTGCTGGGACAGGCGAGTTGTTGAATGGAAGCAGAACCCTTGCAGTGCCCCTTGAGGGGACTCGGGTTCACATGGAGCAGCTTCAGGCTGGTGTTCATGATGGCAAATGGGATTGAATATCCTGGGAGAAGCAGCGAGGACAACAGAACTGCAGGCAGGGCTTGCTCCTTCTGTGAGTCCTCCCAGAGCTGCCGGGGCTTAGAGGGAGCAAGCCAGGGATCTGCACTGGGCTCACGTCATAACTGCATGTAGCAGAGAACGCTGATGAGGGTCATGCTGCTGCCTCGTGAGTGCTGAGGCAAAGGTGGGGAGATGCTGCCTGCAGAGCAGGGGTGATCTGCTCTGGAGCTGGCAGGGAGGGAACTGGGGGGACTCCATGGAGAGCTGGGGGATGCTGTGTGTGGCCATTCAGTGCATGCTTACCCATGGTGCTCTGTCTCTCTGTTCCTGCTTGTGGCCTTGCCCTGCAGCCCTGGGGCTGACGGAGAAGGTGATGAAACTCAACCCTGGTGGGAACGCCAAGCTGGTGAGCATGGGGAAGAGCCTGCAGGAGGAGATGGAGGCCCTGCTGGGGCCAGATGGGGTGCTCCTCTACCCCTCGCACCCCACCATAGCTCCCAGGCACAACTCCCCCATATGTATGCCCTTCAACTTCGCCTACACGGGTGAGCAGCTCCGACCCCTCTGCTGCGTGCAGGCAGGGCTGCAGGCACACATCCTCCCTGCTGCAGCATGGCACGCTGGGCTGTTGTACCCAGAGCATTTCCATCCCTGACAGTGGGTGCTGCAGTGCAGAGGGGTGTCTTGCTGCACCAGAACATGGGGCAAGGATTATGCTCACGCTTTACGGTTCTGTGGCATTTGTACCTGCTGTCGCAGTGGGGCAGGTCTGGTTGATGTGTCTGACCTCAGGGTGAGGGAACACCCTGCCCAGAAGGATGGACTCATGTTGTTAGAGCTGCTGAGTTTAGCAGCCAGGTGAGAGCTGCTGCACCTCTTGGAGTGCAGCTTGGGGCTCTCTGCATGGCTTTCCTGCGGCTGTGCTCCCTGATGCAATCATGTTGCAATGCCACCTGGCTTTGGAGTGGAAGGACAGTGCCTGGGGCAGTACTGTCCCAAAGCAAACCTTGGCATGCCACAGCAAGTGCCACATAAGTGTGTCATCACCTATGGGTGCAGTTTGCTAACATGCTATGGGTGCTGGGAACTTCTGGCCAGTGATGTACCCTTGTTTCTGCAGTGCTCTGGCAAGGCCCAGCTCCCAGGAACCCAGTTCTGGGTGGCAGCGGCTGCCAGCCTGGGGTGGAAGAAGCCAGGCAGGGATTCATCCCAGTTGTGCTTGCTCTGATGCGACCTTCTTTCTTCCAGCCATCTTCAACGTGCTGGGCTTGCCGGTGACGCAGTGCCCGCTGGGCCTGAGCAGCGAGGGGCTGCC